TACTAGTAGCTTCTTAAATAAAAACAGATTTTTAATCCAAGGGCTACCTAGAGAAATGGAACATTGTAAGTCTATGCTCTATTTTCCACAGCAATCAATCCAGAACAGGGTAATTACCCTTGTAGGTACTCTTTGCAGAAACCTGTATATTAAAATTAATATGAGTAAAAAAATCAATTTAATTTTTAATAAATGATTCATAATCTCTGTCTACCAGGTGAGATAAATGATTTTGTGTGGTGTATTTTCTGTTTTAATATGACTTCTCCTGATTTCTCACAATGACTAGTTTTTACTTCAACAAAACTGAAAGGGAACTAACTCTCCATGAAGCTGAAATCCCTGAAAGTTGATTTTATTTTATTAATTTCTCACTCACCATGTTATCTTGAATAGCTTCAGCTGTCAATTCATTTTAATTTTAATACTAAATGTTTAATACAGTTAAATTATTAGACATACAGCCTCAGAACTGTGAAGAAACTAAACTACCACAAAACCATCATGTTTAGAAATTATGCTTTTTATTAACAGTAACAAAAACTACAAAGATAGAGGTGACAGTAATTAGTCATTCTCTTACTATACACCTTGATCAGGGGTTGACAGATGCAAAGTGTGTACCTGAATCTTAGCTTCAATGGAATGCACTATAGACAAAATTAGCCAAAACTTAGCCATTTCAGTTGCTTGTATGAATCATACAAAGCCAATGAAGCTTTCACTCATACAAAGCAGAACCCAATGTTTCAGTCCACATATGATGCTCTTCTCTCTCCTTGGCTCTCCTCTTAAAACTGATGTAATGGGGGGCTGGAGAGATGCTTTAGCAGTTAAGAGCACAGGCTGCTCTTCCAGAAGTCCCAAGTTCAATTCCCAGCAACCACACGGTAGCTCACAACCACCCATAATGAGATCAGGTTCCCTCTTCTGGCATGCAGGCATAAATACAGAGCACTCATACATAAAAAAATATAGGTAAATTAATTTTTTTAACTGATGTGTTGGCAGTTTGTCTTGTTTTTTTTGTTTGTTGGTTGGTTTTAATGTGTTGGGTTTTTTCCCCTTTTTTTTTATTAGAAAGAAAATTATTTTACATGTCAATCCCAGGTCCCTTTCCCTCCCCTCCTCCCCACCCCACCCTCAACTAACACCCTACCCATCCCATACCCTTTCTGCTCCCCAGGGTGAGGCCTTCCATAGGGGGTCTTCAAAGTCTGTCATACTCTTTGGGATAGGGCCTAGGCCAACCCCCTTGTGTCTAGGCTCAGAGAGTATCCCTAGATGTGTTGGTTTTTAACAAACAGTTCTCATCCATAAAACTTCATTCCTGGTCCTTAATCATCTAGTATAACTCACAATCATATCAATACTACCATCCTTGTCAAACTCTTTTCATTTGGTTTCACTTTTCAAAATTAATGAAAATCACATACAGTAGAAGACAATTCCTTTCTCAGATATATATTAAAATAAGATCTTGCTGAAGGGTGGAAGCTACACTTACTTGTGTATAAGGATATAAGGATAGGGCTACAGAATGTGGTTAGTGATTATGGTAGTTCAAGTAGTCATAGTCTGTTCTCATCTAGGGTCCATAACTTACTTCACCAGACATGGGTAGTTGGCTAAGTTTGTTGTACTAGGCATGAATTGTACCTTATTGAAAAGGACTTAAATCTAATTAGATGGCTGTTAGTAAAGACCAGTGTTAGAAGTGCCACTATCACACGCTTGGGACTATCCTGCTCTCTGGTACATAGTCCAATCCTAAGTGGTCATCCCTAAACACATATAAATACAAGCATGCTAAAAAAAAAAATGGACCCAGTTGTATTTGGGTATACACAACAATCACATATGTAACAATAATAATTAAAGAAGAGGTCATGAATTTGAGGAGTTAAGGGGGACACAGGAGGAGTTGGAGGAGGAAGAGTTTGGGGAAATGATATAGATGTAATGCTCATGTATAATATTCTCAAAAATAAGCCAAGAAAATAAGTAAGACCTTTAGATAAGCCAGTAACACATCTTCCCAATTTAACTTAAAAACCCATTTAATGTGGAATTTCAGGAAATGATAGGAATTTCAGGCAACTTGTTACAATACATTGTTGAAAACACTACTTATAAAAATGGAAGTTTTGAACCCTTGAATACAGAAATGAAAGTATAAATGCCTATCTTCCAAAGCTCTGTTCAGGGGCTACAAAACCTGACAGGAATAAGAGCTAAGGGGAAAGGAGAATGGGATGAAGAAAGGTTCCTTGGTCTATTAGTGATGTCTTAAAATACTATTCCCGGAACCAGCAGTGATTCAACCCGAGTACAAAAACCCATGAAATTGCTCCCAAAGTTGAACCATGGCCTGAAACCTCAGCTTGCCCATCAACAGATGATGGCTTTGCTGGTCTACAATCTTGCTTCAACCAGTAACTGGGAGTTAAATCACTCTTACAAAAGACCTAGTGGAAAGTGTCTCCAGTCTCTCGGGCTGGAATACCAAGTTAGAAAAAGAGTGACTCAAGTATAAGCTGGAAGTCACTAAATAATGATGGGAATTTCACAAAAAATTGATAAACAAACATCAATGTTTTCTAACCCTAACAGCAACCATATAAAGCCAATACACTATAGACCCATTGTCACATGAGGAACTGAGAAAGAGACGAGGTGAATATTACTCCCAGGTCACAAAAGAAGTATGAAGTACAGCCAAGCTACAAACCCAAGGGCTGGGTCATTTTCTGAGCAACGTTCCAGAATAGACCAGAGCTAATAGGCAAGACAATAACAAGAGCCTGGAGTTAGAAGCCATTACTCCACTCATAGGTTAGGTGCTACCCCTTGGGTTTTGGTTACTTCAGCCAGCTCTCATTCCTTGCTCCCCTCACCACCACCACACACCCCAGCCCTCCATCTCTACTCTTGAGTTTTGCATTTCCCGTTTAAGGCAGTTGATCATTAAAGCAGTTGACCTGTTCAACTAATGATAGAGTCATGCTACAGAGCTCTGCTGCCAAGTTCTGGATGCTCACTTTCTGTTTTCACTCTATAGGCACTCTGGATGCATGCTGCCTCCAGTTTGTGTTTAAACAGACTGCCTTTCCTGGGATAGCAATGGCAGAGGCTCCTAAGGAGGAGCTGGAGAGCTTGGGAGGGGGTGGGGTAGTAGGATTCTGAGATATGTGGATGGACTGCAGTGTACTTTCTTTGACCATGCTGCACCTCTTGTCACAGAAAGAGGAAGTCAAGTCTCCCAATCATACCATGAGTACTCAAGTACTCTTTGAATTTCACTATGAAGCTTCCCTTCAGCACCAAACTTATAAAGAATGCCACTCCCTTCTTACTCAGAAGCAGCACCATTCAACACTGCCACCTCTGGTCCCCATCTTTTAAACACCATCCTTGAGATCCCTTAGTATCCACTCTATCCCTTGTCAAAATTTTCCCATGTACATAAAGGCTAAAACTCACTAAGGGTGACTTTCAGGTGTGGTCCGTTCAGTTGCTCAGTTTCCTTGCATCTCTAAGCTCTAGCATCAATCCAGAGCTGGATCTTCTGGTTCCCTAGCTACTTACTTCCCCAGTCACATTCAAATGTGTTTTATCCCCTGCTTTCTGGTTATCCTGGAGGGTTGGTTCTGTCTTTGCTTACTCTCCCTGTTACTCCATTTAGCATCTGGAGGATATCTGAGAAGATTTAGATCTCAGTGACTGTTGACATCCTCTTCACGTGGGACATAAAATTCTAGGACAGGGCTCTGAGTGCTGCGTAATTAAGCATCAATGATTCAGGAATTCAGGGTTCTCATCTAAGATTTCCAAGCATAACAGTGGTAATCTGAACTGTTCTTCCATACACTATCAGACAGTAACAGATATCATTTCCTATTTATAAGAAAATTCAGAAGAGAGGCACCTGGGGTCTCCTACTACTAAGAATCCTATAGTGAAATGTTAAGAGCCATGACTAGAAAATTTCATAATCTATATGATGCTGTCTGGAGAAGTATATATAAACCCACCATTTCATAGGAAAAGCAAAATCCATATAAGAATATGCAACATATATGAACAAGAGATGAAGAGATTATCAGATACAGTCACACTGGTAGAAATTTCTTACAGGTTAGCAAGATACACTTTCATTTGCCTTCCCTAAATGAAATATTAGAAGGAAACATATTATCTATTAGACTATCCACACAATTTGTTATCTAATTAATTTGTATTATGCTCAGCCTGTTTCTTATTCAGAGATTTGAAGAGGAGATTTTCAAAGCAATAACAATTTTTAAAAGAACAATTTTATTTCGCTTGACTAATAATCTTTAACAAGATTCCCTAGTAGTTTCCTTTTTAAAGAAATGAGCTACAATTTCATTGATTCAGGAAATATAGATAGTTGTAGTGAGCATAGGGTACATGATCATTCATGTTCATAGACAAAGAAAATGAATAACCATCAGGAATGGGGGTATAGCTCAGCAGTGCGGCACCTGTCTAGCAAATATGAGGAGCTGGGCAGTATCTTCAGAACCATGGGGGAAAAAAATAAAACTATATATATACATACATACATACATACATACATACATACATACATATTAGAACTACAATGCAAAACTGTGAAAACAAGCAGGCTTTAAAGTAGGTGGGCATCAGTTTCTAAAACTTTATATCAGTCTTCCAGCATACACAGTGCCAGGTGAAAACACCATTCAAGATAACAAATAGAGAGATCCAAGGTTATTATTGCTTTTGCCTCAGAAGATGAAGACAAACATTCCTGTTTAGTTCTCTATATATGCTTAAGCTAATCCATGTAATGTTTTAAAGACAACCAGCATGCTATTCCTTAATATCTATTTTACAGCCCTGTTCCACCAGCCCCTCGTCTAATCTTTCAGCCCCTGGGAAGGCCAGACTCCTTTGACAACAAACTCAAGACAGCATCAAGGTGGGTGACAAATGCACAAGCTCCATCTTACCTCTGATTCATCTGTAGACTCTTCAAGAGACCCAGTTTCCTGCAAACACAGAGGAGAGAGGTTTCAGAAGAATAAACAACATTTGCAACTGCAAAGAATCATTGTACCCACTTGCTTTTCTGGAAAAGTCATCTGCAATGGCATTTTAGATGATTCCACCTGCTTAACTCTCACACCTCTTTTACAACTTCATACCATGACTGTCGGGGGGGGGGGGGGGGGTTCTGTTTTCCTCCCTCAAACACTGAACAAATTATCCTAGGAATTTGATATGTGAGATATGAACACTCAGCTAATGGAAATCCATCTAGCAAAACATCACTGATACCCCAAGGGAACAAGAAACCACCATATCAAATGAGCCAGTTTTTAATACCAAAATCTCTTGTGTTAATGAATCAAAATTACTGTCTTTTTAAAATTTTTAGGGAAAAAATTAGTTTGTGGGAAGGGGGAGGGAGGTACCTGGCTTGGGTTAGTTTATTGAGACAGGTTCTCATATTCCAGGCTGACCTTGAACATTATGAAACTTGATGACCTTGAACTTCGGGTCCTCCTTCCTCTACAGCCTATTTGCTGAGATTATAGGCATGTGACACTAGGTCTGGTTTTATGTCAAGTGGAGGATTGAACTCAAGGCTCTGTGTATGCTAGGCAAGCACTCTACAGTTAAGCAACATCCCCAAGCCTAGAACAGTTATTGAAGAAAGAATCTTCCACAATGGTACTCATGAAATGTGGCATCAGCCCTTTAATAAACCAGTAACTCTAAGACAAATTCCTCCACTTAGAGCAGTTCCCTTCTTGCTGCACAATGAATCTTGCTGCTCTGGAGGAAACAAAGCAAAAAGGGAAAAAATGGACTTGATCCTGCTAATCTCTCACCTGTCCACTGAAAGAGAATCTGCTGATGCCATGCATCCTCAAAGAGGTCAGCAAAATGAAGATTTACTTAACGTACTTATAGATATCAATAGCAATAAAAAGTTACAGCTAATATGCTGACACCGAATGTAAGCATTTTACAATCCATGAGGTAAACAAAGAGAACAACAAAAGAAGTGGGGTAAGAATATTTTAGATATAACATAGTTTTAAGGAAAATAGAACATTTTAAAGAAAGTCAGATGCACTTTATACTCAACTCAAGACAGACAGAGGGATGAATGTAAATCTGATGTTCAAAAGCAGCTTTATTTTATATGACAAAAAAAAAACCAATAAAAGCTTGGAAGGAGACAGGTAACTTCTAGAGGAAGTTTAAGTCTTAAGGAAAATATAGTCCTTGTCTGTGAAGACCATGTGAATTACATGCAATTAAGAATTTCACTATACATGCGTCATTAACAGGGATTATCCAGAGACTCTCTTCTCCTTGCCCATGCAGTTTGTTTGATTTAATGTGACTCAGAATCTTAGAACTCTCATTAGTTTGAAGCTGTAATCCTCCAAAACAACTGGCTGGTCGTACATCCACAAGCCACAAGAAGAAAGGAAAGGAAAGGAAAGGGAAGGGAAGGGAAGGGAAGGGAAGGGAAGGAAATCCAAATTTCCTACCATTTGACAGTTATTCAGTTAATGGCATGTATTCCACCTCCCCTTCTAAACAATTTCTCCTCTGCACTAGCCACCCAGTTCCTGCTTTTAGCCCTCCTACCACCTTGAGTTAGCCCAACAGAATATAGAGGCCACAAATAATCCAAGTAAGCAGCACTAATTTCCCACAAGCGTCCTAAGAAAACACAACGGGAAAGGGCTCGTCATTTATAATGATACTGGAAGAACTAGGTCTCTGCATTTAAAAGAATGAATGCAACTCAAAATGGACAAAATGCCCAAAGTTAAGCTATAATATCGTGACACTCCATATAGAAACCTTACTTGACATTGCCTTGCCATTGATTTCTTGGATATCTCACAAAAATCTAAGGCTATAGATGTAAAACTAAATGAATAACACTGCCTCAAACTAAAAATCTTCTCCATAGCAAAGCAGATAATATATAAAGACAGCCTATGGGCTGGGGGTAAAAAAATCTGTCAGCCATAAACTTCACAAAGGGCTAACCTCCCAAACCGGCAAAGAATGCACACAACTCAACAGCAAAAAATAAAAATAAAAAATAAAAGCTAATTTTAAAAAGATCCTAAATAAACATTTCTCCAAAGAAGACATTCAAAAATGAACAAATGATACAATAAAAGGTGCTCGGCCTCTCTATTCTCAGAAATGCTAATCAAGGCCACTCTATCACTTCAGATAACTGTAGGATAGCTTTTGCCAGAAAGACAAGGGATGAGGAGAGCTGTGAAGGGTCTGTTGCATTGTCTCCTTATATGTGCAATAGAAACGGGGGAAGGGGGGACATCAAATAGGCAAACATAGTAAAGCAGTAGCTACAAGACAGGGGTATATGGAAATGGGTTAATATGGGTCACAGCACACAAAACAGCAGATATGTAAGACTAAGTGTTCTAAAGAGCTCTCGTACAAAATAAGAGCCATAGTAGCTGAGGGTATATTCAATGAATTCTAAGGATTTTTGCCAGAGAGCAAATTAGTTATAGAAAATGGACAAGTCTGAGAAGGAATGAGTAACTTTATGTTTCTCTATGGTAACCACTTTATTCACACATATATGCATCTTATAGCATCATGATGTATACATTAAACACACAATAGAAATTTATTTTATATATTGTTATAGTTACTGGTCTGACTTTGCTACTGACCATCTACTCATAATGCTAAATGTCATAATGCTCTATGCCTATAATACAGCATATGAACATTTCTAATGCCTTAGGCTAGAATAATGAGGTATAGAGATTGAATTTAATGGTTTCTAAAATATCTCTGATCCCTGAGTTTCTTAAGCATTAAATAGCACTAGCAAAGCAATATTGTGACACCCATGCTAAAAACCTGTGTCTAGATTCTGATTTCCCTTATCTAGAGTGCTAAAAACATACTTGGCTACACTTCCAGAAAAATTACATTACCCAAATATACATACTTGGTAAATGGGATAGTGTCCACTCACATGACTCATTAACATAAATGAACATAAATCATCAACCAACAGAGCTGGCCCAGAATCTCAAAATCCAATTTCTTATTTGTTCCACACCAGAAAGAATGCAGTGTCGGAGAGTTTCAGGGGCTGGCACTGGCTGAGAACATGTGTTTCAAGACTCTCTAAGACCTACCATCAGCATTAGCACAGACTACATGAACAAAGATATGACCTCAACACATTGACACTTTCATCCACATTATGAAAGCAATGCATAATAGACCTCAGACATTAGCCCAGTACGGTTGCTTAGCCCCATTCTTTGACCAATCCCACTTAATGTTCTAAAGACAAAGAAGTAAACAAAAAGGCATAAAAAAGCAAACCCAAGAAACAAGACTGAACTATGAGAGCAGTTATGATTAAAGACAGCAAAAACGTTTTCAACATTTTTAGCCTCAAGAAATCTCATATTTGAATCATGAAAATATAAGCTAAAACTGTGTTGTTCTCTATGTAATAGAAGTCAAACTCACCAAAACACCTCACAAATAATGTATGCATATAAGACAGAAGTAAAATAGAGATCATCAGAGCAATGCTGTGATGGGGAGTTATTAGTAGGTAAAGGTTCAGTGTGTAAAAAACTCCAGAGGTGTATGGTGGTGATGACTGCACAGCAACTTGAATATGTTTAATCCAACTGAAACACAGAAACTTCATGTCCAGCTAAAAACTCTACGCTGTTTTGACTGAAGCAAAGGTGTTGGGCTAGAAGATATCCACTGACACAAATGCATAGTCACTCAAACTCTAGGCAGCAAGCTTAACAATAAATTCAGTAATTTACCTTTCTTTCCCAAAGCCATCTTTAGAACTCCAACCATCTATCTGAAGAACTTCACCTATGATGTGTGTTGGCCTTGAGAATTTCATCAGCTGCCCAAAGCACGGATCAGACTGATACTGCCATCCTCAAAACCAGCAGTGGTCTCCCAGGCCAATACTAGACCAGCAAGGCAGACAAAGAGTGATGTCTGACACCAGGAGACTTCTAGTCTTTTTCTCCAGCCCCTCCACAAATCTATACCCCTCTAGCTACACTAAGTAAGCTGTCACTGAGAATCACATGCTCATGTCTCCATGCTAGAAGCAGCAAAGTGACAAGTGGGATTTAGGTGTGACCTACAGATGTGTTGTTTAACCTAGGTGATGATGTTCAAAAACATCCCTATAAAAATATCAATTTGCAACTTCATAAAGATCTCATTACATCTACATAGTATCAGTATTTCTAACTAACTGAAATTGGAGCTGAGGAGCACTGCTGGGATGGAGGGCATTTTACCCCCAACACCACTACCAACCTCACTTAGATCTTGAACAGCAGCCTTGAGTTGTGATCCCCAATGAGATTTGCCTTAGAATATTCCCTCCACTTAACCTTAGCTCAATTCCACAAGGATCCTTATGGTTTTCCAGCTTCAAGAACTGAGTGGGGAAGATGTCCTACTGCTTCAACATGAGCTTTACTGTCATGACCCTAGGTTCATGGTACCATCCTGGGATTTAAATGTGCAAAGCATGGCTATTTCTAAACATTCACTTTCCTCAACAGCCCAACCATGGTTGCTCTAGCCAATCCTGGATCTGGACAATTAATCCTTGTCTTATTTATAAATTAACTATTTCACCCTAACCACTTTAGTAGATTTATTAAAAAAAAAAAGCCTCAGAGAATAAGTTAACAGGCAAGAAAACAGAGGCACTGAAGTATATAGAAACATGGTATTTATTTTGTAAGGAGGAGATATTCATAAACATAGACTGCACCATCTGATACTAATCTCTAAGATGCAGTAGTGGAAATCAAAATAAAAACTCTCTCCTACAGCCAAAACACAGATGGTTAATTTTGTGGCTGTGTGGGGAGGACGAAAGTGCATGAAGGTTAAGAAGAGGAAGAAATGTGGAGAATATGATCCATATTACACCTGAATTAGTAACATCCCAACATTTTAGACGATACGATGATTTCACTCGAACTATACTAAACAGAATTCACAATGTGACAATTTTAAGTGTTCTCCTCCTACCAGATTCATTTCAGTACTTAGGGTTTGGAAGCTAGTAGCTCTTGGGGAGATACAGACATGAGTAAGCTATAGTCTTCATTCTGAGGACTCAGCAATCCTCAGGAGACAAATACACCAACCAGACTTCAAGCAGAGTGTTATTCATGAGAGGTCGGAACAAACACTACTGGGCATCTGTGACTATGAAAGCCACCTATAAATCATTCCAGAACTAAGTAAAACTGCTGGTTACAAGAATTCCAGGCAGAATGGTAGCTATTAGCTTTCCATGAACTATAAAACACAAATGTTACTTTTACAAAGTACTTTTTCTATATTCAGCAAAATCAAGGCTTCCATTATGGCTTAAAGACATCTGTTTACCCATACTCAAGCAGTGATTTTAGCTTTAAACTGTGAATTTTTTATGGTATGTTAACTTAGTACAGATGTCACCATTTTGGCTATTCATAAAATTAAAGGAGAAGCAATGATCAAAGAACACAACACTCAGGAAAGATAAGCCAATGGATTTAATCTTGTGCTATTCATTTTGGAAAGATGTTTGCATTTATAGGACAGGGTACCAAGAAAATGCTTTGCCTCCCTCTGTAATTTGTCATAGTAGTTCATTTAATACATATGCCAACACCTAAAGTTCTCAGGAGAGTGAAAAAAAGACGTCAAGATTTCCAAAAGGATTCAAGGTGGAAAAATATGAGCACATTTACTTACTTGATTTTTGTGTCTTTTGTCATCAAAAAAACTGTTTAACAAAGGCCTACTGTCAGATTTGAACAGCTTCTTACTGTAGGTGAGAAGTGCACCACTCCAAAAAATAAGAAAAACCTACTCTTGTTTAATCTTCAAAGAACTAATAGTCTGAATACAATTGTTTTATTTATTTTCTTTTAAAGAATCATAATTTCTTATGAATTCACAAAACAGTATATGAATATTTGCTTCTTTCTGCAACAGACAATGGACTACTCAAAATTTTTAAGGCCACACTGATACCAACTGGGAAGGAATGTTCTTTCCCAATAGTACATCAGCTGTTAAGCACCACAGGAGGATAAGGGTTAAAAGGAAAACCATCAAGATGATAAGAGCTAATTCCACTTCATAAAGTTCACTTATATCTATGAATATATATTTATATGAAAAATACATATTCATATATGAAATTTAGATTTAGGTTCTTCAGCATATTTTAATAAGCAATGTGGTCTAGTGAAAAAATATAGATTTTGGAGACATGAGACTAAAAACATTATAGATATAAGCATGAGAAATTTCAAACTGAATTTCAATCCATTTGTCTGTAAAATCCAATAGTTTAATATATTAAGTATCAAGCAATATCCCAATATTGGTCATCAGTCATGAATAAATTCTTACCATGTGGCTCGCAATAGTGAAAATACACACATAAAATATAAGCCTTAAGACATAAGTATTATGCAGAAAATATAAGAAAGTGGTTTCAAAGAATGAACAGAAGTCTCGATCAGAAAGCAGAATTCCAGAGGCATGAGGAAAATAAAGGAGAAAGCTCTGTGGATAGCAAAAGTCCTGAAAAGGGCCAGTGTGAGCACAGGTTCTAGGGAGGAAGCAGCCAGGCTTATTTACAGAACAAGAAAAGCAATATTAGGTAGAGTGGCAGGAGGGTAAGATCATGGAAGGAAATCAAGTCAGAGAGTGGTGGAAGCCATGGCTGCACAAAGCCCTGGTGAGCAATTCCCATATGGGCACTGTTGTACCACATTTTGGGATGAGAGGTTTTGAGACATGGAGGATTTATATGACTTCTATATCAGAATAAACATTTACCTCACACAATTCTTTTGTTTGTTTGTTTTTTGTTTATTTGTTTTGTTTTCTGAGACAGGGTTTCTCTGTGGCTTTGGAGGCTTTCCTGGAACTAGCTCTTGTAGACCAGGCTGGTCTTGAACTCACAGAGATCCGCCTGCCTCTCGAGTGCTGGGATTAAAGGCGTGAGCCACCACGGCCGGGCAACCTCACACAATTCTTTTCGAAGGGCTAAATGTCATGTGAAAGGGTTTTTAAGCTTGAAAGCACTGTACAATGTGAAACAACTGATTATCTACCTAATTTTCTCATTTTTAACATCAGCTTTGTCAAACTCTTCTGCATGAGTGGGAATAAAAGGGGCACTCCATTCTATCACACTGTGTCTAATCTAAGAACTTAACGAACTTGGACTTGTTTATCTATAAAACCATAACTAAGTTTCAACAGAAATGGAAATGCTCAATGTCTCGCAGTAGTCAAACTGAGTAAGGCCTGCTGTGAAGGCAAGCTCTGTTTCTCTTTGACTTGCAGTGCAAAAGATAGTCTGCACGAATAATGCACAAATGATGGGTAAGAGGCTCTTGCTAACACAATGTCCAAACCCATATTCTTCCTCGTCAAATTCCTTAACTTTTGGCACACATAAAATAAGCACGGGTGCGAATGGTCTACAAGTCAATGTCTCGTATGACAGTAAACAGTTCATCACCATATCACTTCTTAAAGACATTTCAGAAACTTGCTGACAGGCCATTTAATGTAAGAGGGGAAATATATATGTCAAACTGAAGTGACACTAGAAACGTAAACTTAAGGGGTCTCTTCCAAGGTCTGCCATCAGTCTTTTAGTTTGGAAGTTCATTCATTTTGTTCTTTACCCTAATGTGTGGTTATCAGAACGTCTGTATGAAAATGTCACTAATTTCTACTCAAACCTCGGTGCCACCTACTGAGCTGCAGGCTGGACGCTGCCATCTAAGTCTTGCCAACAACAGGGATAATCCCTTAAACCTTGCATAGCCCACACTTGACTTTCCTTCTTTGAAAAATTCTACTTAACATAAACCAAAAGAGCTGAGCCGAAGCTAGGCCGGCTCGGACGATGGGGGTGTGCGTGGCGCTATACACGAGGGGAGGGGCCGCCCCAACTAGCCCGGCCAGGACCGCCTCGCCCCCGGCCCTCCGCGCCCCAGAACCCCTCACTCAGGTCTCCATTTCCCCTCTGCCCCGAACTAGCTCTGCCAGTATTTACCTGCTCCTCTGCTTCCGCCATAGTGCAGCCTGAGAGTCACATGACATACCCGGAAATAAGGGAAAACAGCCCCTGGCCACAGCCTTCTGGGAAATGTAGTTTTCCCCCACACCAGTCCGGTTCCTTATCCAACTCTCATTTTTACTCTACAGAGTTCTGTTTAAGAGAACTTATATAAACTTATATAAATATTATATATATGCATATATATACATATATAATGTTTCATTTTGTTGTTTGTATATGTTCTGTTGTTACTGTGGCACCTATTAAGCGCTTTCTATTCCAGGATCTGGTTTATAGTAAAATTATGAATTATTTCATTTAGTTCTCTCAGCAATCCCTGTTGTTACCTTCATTTACAGGGAAGAGCACAGCACCTCAGAGATCTCACTAATCTTATATATAAGAAGCCTAGGTTTAGAATTCGTCCCTGCCCCATGCCCAAGACTACCATACCAAATGTTCTTCAGGCTAATACAGTTGCTGTGCCTGCCCACTTCCCTTTTAAAAGGATAGTGACTGTAAAAGAATGTCTGCAGTGTTTTCAGAAAATATTCTTGGTACATTAAATTGATGCCTTTCATTTTAACTTATTTTTGGTACAGATTTTTTCCCTCATGTATGTCTGTGCAAAGTTGTGAGCCTGGTATCCTCATAAGCCAGACAGAACTTATCAAATTCCCAAGAATTAGAGATACAGATATTTGAGAACTACCATATAAGTGTTGGGAATCAAACTCTGAACCCCTGGAAGAGAAGCAATAGCAATTGATATATAAATACTGAATTTTTAAAAACCCCTTTTGTTTAATTATTTGCTAAGCTTGCATTGACTGTCTTCAAGATAAAATGTAAGTTTGTCATTTGCAAAAGCTGAAAACCATCATTTAGAAAACTTGACCCTACCCTATGTTTCTGAACAAAATCAACTATCTTTCCTATTCCTTGGCAATCCATTCATTGGTCCAAAGATAGTCATTATCAGTTTATAAGAGGTAGCACAATTGGTAGTTTGTGGTGGGTGTTACATACTCAGTACTATGGTCTTCCCATAGTCTCTGGGTGTTGCTTTCTCCATCCATTTTCCTCAGTGGCCCAGAAGCCATGATAATGTCATCTCTCAAACACTTGGGTTTCCCCAAGGGTCTAAACAGCCTCCAGTCCATGCTGGGATCCCTCTTCCAGCCTGCTCCTCACTCCGCTCATTTAGACACCCACAGACAAAAACCCAAGGGAGGGAGGGAGGGATTGGGGAAGGAGAGAGGGAGGGAGGGAGAGAGAGAGAGAGAGAGGGAGGGAGGGAGGGAGAGAGAGAGAGAGAGTGTTGATGGCAGAACTGGAGCTGGAGTCAGTTGAAAGTCTTCATTGAAAAAGTCCCTCTCATGGCTGGAGATATGCATCAGTGATTAAGTGTGCCTGGCATCACCATCTTCAGGACTCAGCCTGAACAGACACATGTGCATATGCTCTGTGCTCACTCACATAGACACACAGACACATGCATGATAAATAAGTAAATAAATAAATAAATAAATGATAATTTTACAATAAGAAACAAAAGGGCTTCTGAGAACCTAAATCAGCCAGGGCTGCAGCTCTGATTTCATTGCTGATTTTCCTGTCTGTCTATCCGTCTGTCCCTTGGGTTGTTTTTTTCCAGCATCTGGAGCTCATTGGTTGTATGTTGAATGAGTTCCCTCCAAAGATTCTTTAAAGGACACATCCCTTTCATGCACCACACAGGTTCTGCTCTTAGAAACAATGTAATGAAGAACACACTATGGTAGTCTAGACAAGCAAAGCAGAAAGCCAATCATCAGCTCTGGCTGGTGGTGGACTTTCAACTCTTTGGAATGAAGAATGTTTGACCTTTTTTCCTTTTCAAAAGGGATCTTGTGGGATGGATTGAAAAAGAAGTTGAAGATTGCTGCAAATACTTCTCTACTCACCCAACCCCAGAGAGCCCTAAAATAATGCTCTCCACATCTTCTGTTTTTGCTCTAACAAAATACAGGGAACATGGAATTCATTGGGAATTCACAGGGAAGATGGGATGCAGAAGCATACAAAGATGAAACTTATTACAGGCTAGGTTCATTCTGGGCTACTGGGCAGAATGAAATTGGCATGTGACCTCTGAACTCCAAGTTTTTCCTGTAGGAGTTTGAGTTTCCTTTATCTGAAAGGTCCTAGTGCAGTGTCTTGCTACACAAAGTACTCTCCAGAGACCACTTGGAACCTTGTTAGGACGAAATGAATAGAGACCTTTTGAGTAACTTACTGAACAATAATTGAATTTCAATAATGACAGGTTATACATACATAGGTAAAAGTTTGAAAAGTGCTTGACCTAGCAGTTATTAATTCTATGTCAGATTGCTTATTTAACACTCATCGCTCATCCATCCTCTCCCTTCAGAGATGGAGTTAAAGACTAGGTTCAACTCCTCCTTCTCCTTGTATAGGACTTAAAACTTATTACACAGTGCTAGCAACCAGACCTCAGTTTTTGTATTTATAGTTTGCTGAGTTTAAAGATCTGTCTTAAAAGTTATTCCTGTAGGTTTGAAAGAGTGTAGTAACTTGGTAAAGTATGATAGCCATTTTATTCAAAATAACTTTATCTCATTTTAAACAATATGAATGGCTTCAATGTTAACCCTTATGAAATACTACTTCTATTCTAGCAATAAGAGCTCAGCAAAGTGAGAAGGTGACCTTTAAAAAGTGTCAGCTTTGAAGCCTTTCTGACAAAGTAGCAGTTTTAAGAAACCACTCCAGTCTTGAGCCTCTATGCGTACTTACCATGGCCTTCCCCTCAAGGTGCTTTTATTTTTCTGCTCAATTTATTTTGGAGAGATGATATCAGGCTTTAGATTGTTGCCTTTTCCATCCTAAGATCTTTAGGATGAAATGACAAGCAAACTCATAGTACATTACATTACCTGCTTCAAACAGTACCCTTCTATCCTTTCTTTAATGTACTTTTTCCTAAAATGGTGAAAATAGTATTGATGTTATCTTTAGTGATAATAAGCCTCAGTTTATTTCACATTTTCATTTTTCAAAAATGGAACCCATGAAATCTTCATAGTCTACTACTTTAAATGTTATTTTAATAAACAGCTTACTGGAAATATAAAGTGTCAACTCCCTACCTCTAGTTTTTTTTTTCTTTTAATCCTGAAATACTCAAGTTATAAAGAGAAAAGATTTATTGTGGTTCACAATTTAGGGCATTTTAATCCATAACAAATCACCACCACTACCACCACCGGGCTTTAGAGCCTTTGAAAAGGCAGCAGATCACAGTGAGGGTGAAACAAAACCAATTTATGGTCAAAAAGCAAAAGACAGGAAGAGGGACTAAGGTTCCACTTCTCTCTCTAATACCACACCCAATTCCCTCTCATTAAATTCCAATTCTTTTTTTCCAGTTTTTATTTTTTAATTTCACTTTACATCCCAACCACAGTTCTCCTTCCCATGCCTTCTTCCACCCTCCCTCACCTCCCCACTAGCCTACTCCCAGTCCACTCCTCCTCACGGGTAAGGGCTCTCATTAGGAATCAACATAGTCTGGCACAATAGGTTGGGGCCTGGCCCCTCTCCCATGCATTAAGGCTGAGCCTGGCATCCCACCATAGGGAATGAACTCCAACAAGCTAGCTCATGTACAAGGTTTGTATCATGGTCCTACTGCCAGGGCTCCCATAATCCAAACTTTACAACTGTCTCCCACATATGGAGGGCCTGGTTTGGTCCCCTAACGTCTCCACAGTTATAAGTCTAGAGTTCATTTGTTTCCATGTGCTTGGTTCAGCTGTCTCTATAGATTTCTCCATTATAATCTTGGCCTCCCTTGTTTATATGTTCCCTCCTTCCTCTATTTGCCTGAATTCCCAGAGCTCAGGGGAATTGTTGGGTTCTTGGTGTGGATCTCTGCATCTGGTTCCATCCTTTACAGTCATTTTGGAAATCATTGCGACAGTTTCTAAGAAAATTGGGAATCAACCTACTTCAAGACCCACTCTTAGGCATTTACCCAAAGAATGCTCAATCATACCACAAGGACATTTGTTCAACAATGTTCATAGCAGCATTATTTGTAATAGCAAGAACCTGGAAACAACCCAGATGCCCCTCAACCAAAAATGGTTAAGGAAAATGTGGACATTTACACAATGGAGTACTACTCAGCAGTAAAAAAATGATGACATCATGAAATCTTCAGGCAAATGGATGGAAGTAGAAAAAAACATCCTGAGTGAGGTAACATGGTATGTATTCACTCATAAGTGAATATTTGATATAAAGCAGAGGATAACCAGACTAACGTCCACAGCTCCAGAGAAGCTAGGTAACAAGGAGTACCCTAAGAGGGACACATGGATTACCCTGGGAAGAGAAATTAGATGATAGCTTCGGGGCAAACTGGGGATAGGGGGTGTTATATGGGAGAGGGGAGGGAGGATGAGAGCAAGACGGAAGGAGATGGCCTAGGCAGGGAAGGATGCAGTAGAAGAGCATTAAAAAAACATATCTTACTAGAGAGATTGGCTTAGGAAGAAACCTAGTGCTAGGGTAACTTCCAAGAATCCACAAAGAGGCCCCCAACTAAGACTTCTATCGATAGTAGAGAAGACACCTGAACTGGCCTACCTCTGTAACCAGATTCCAATTTTTAAAGGTTCTAGGACATTCCAAGGCACCAGGCTGGGGAGGAACCAAAAAGTCACCGCTTGGGTTTTCAGGAAACACTTCATATCCATGTCATAGATGTCAGTAAACCCACTAGAATTTTAAAAGAATCCTTTTCTAGTTAATAATAAGCATAATATATGTTTATACATGTAATTAAAAAGATAAATCATATATGTGAGTTATCCATTTCAGTCACTTTTGCTGAATATATCTTTGTATTCTCCTCCTCCTCTCCTTCAACTATTCCCCTTTTCCTTTCTGCTCTTTTGTTGTGTTTATAGATTAGTTTTCTAACAAAAATATGGAATCAAATTTTGTCTGCTTTCTTCACTTAGTACTATGTCAAGCTCACTTTGAAT